TAGGCCATCATGGAGTTCAGGTATTACCCTCTTTCACTTTGTTGGTTAAGACCTGTCCTATCAAAAGTAACCGGGTTCTAGAGGATCCCAATATCACTGACTACCCTCAATCGGTCATAACTCCAGCATCGCAATCTTTTCTTGTGGCCAGAACCATCGCGAGAGTTTAGCCTCAATGGGTGTAGCATACTGCTACTGTTCTATAAGCCAAGTTGGGTCATTTAAGGTTCTAAGGTCGGTTGGTGCTTAATGACTCCTCAGAAGACCCATATTCTCCTCGTTGCGACACAAGGGATATCGGTACAGACCAAGGTGCCACACCAACGTAGCCACTGCTTCACCCGTGTCGGTCTACGCCGGACAGGTCCCTCACAGCTTATGCTACCTAAAAGGGTATTCCCCAGATCCGGGTTAGGATCTATGAAACTCCGATGCAAGCCCACAATAAAAAAGCAATCAAAGCAAGCAATTGAAAACAAGAGTGAACTATTCCTAAGGTACACCTCATTTATAAAGTGTCCCCAGCAGAGTTGCCAGTTCTGGGATCGGTGGATCTGGAACTGACTGTTTAACGCTGGTTCGCGAAATGTCGTGGAAGCAAGAGTCGACACCGTCTTTTATTTTCTCCAAAGGGAAAGGACAAAAGCACAGAAAAATTCCTTATAGAGATTGCTCTCGGTTCGGGAGGTAGATTATAGAAAGGGAAGGTGTTAGCACCCTTTCTATCCATGGTTATCCATGGGCTCTTAGATACTTGCTCACTTGTGTTTTCAAAAATGGTTTGTTTGCTTTTCAACTGTGGGTTTTAAAAAGAGTTTCTTTGAAAATTCCAGTTCGACTCTTGTATCGGTCCTCAAGAGTGTTTGAAAAATTGCTTTCGAAAGCTTTTTGAAAAGGTGTCGGTGTGAAAAGTATTTTTGAATTTGTTTTTGAAATTAGAGCAAGTATCTAGAGTCGTCTACCTACCCTAAGGAATTCGTCTGTGTAGATTTCCTGTAAAGTAATGCCATCCCACCATTGAGAGGTAGGTAGCACCACCGTTGGAGGTGTTCGGGTCAATTCGAAGGTTCGGGACATGGTGATCACCAGAGCAATAGGAAGATACCTTAGAAGCTACCCTCATGCCAGGTTCCCGGATCATGAGGACTTACTAAAACATCCTCTACTCGACGATCACCTTTCGAGGGGCAAGGCAACAGTGAGGCGTACCCTAGGGGTGGTGTGTGATTTGTGTGTTATGTTCATTTATGTTTATCTTGTCATGTATTGGTGATCCACGCTTTTGTTTTTATTTTAACATTCATTCTTGCATACAAATTTATTAACAGTTAAAAAAGTGTGGAATTTAAAAGCTCTACGCTATTACAAAGGCGCGGGTCCACATCGCCAAATTTAATCCAGGACCCGATTTGAAATAAAATAAAGAATGCGGAAAAGATAAATGTCTGATTTACACGGCTTTGGGAGAATTACATGAATATTATAAGAAAGGAAATAAATGCGCGAAACGAACTGATAATAGAAAGCGAGGGCGTTGGACCCTTTTTAATGAAATTAAATTACGATTAACAAATTAATTAAATTAAAATAAAAGAGATTTTTTTGGAGTTTTTTGTATTTAAGGATTTTTAATAAGAATTAATGGAATTTAAAACCTAATTCTAGCTATTTTTTAATTTATTAAAAAAACATGTTAAAGTTAAACCTAGAATTAACCTAATTATTTAATACAATTTTATTTACAAAGAATAATAATTAATAATTAATAATGATAAAAGAAAAGAAAAAGATAAAAGTGATTAAAACCCTAATTCTACAATTTTTAATTTATTAAGAAAAATATTTAAAATTATGCCTAGAATTTAAAACTAAATTAATTAACAAAGATTTTATTTACAAAAAATGACATTTAAATAAAATATATTTTATTTTGTCTTTTCTGATTTTTACTATTTTTTATGTTAAGAAAATATTAATTTGATGAATTAAATTAAAATTAAATTAAGCAAATAAAAATAAAAAATAAAAGAGTGAAAGAAAGCAAACAATGGGGGTTTGTTGTCCCAACTTGGAGGTGTCTGGCCAGCAATTAGGCCCATTTGATTCCTGGCCCTGTTGACTTCTGGCAATCACGTGTGGATTCGTTGACTGACACATATGATACTCCTCAGATCAAGGCCCTTGGTTGGATCTCTGAGACATGTGGCGCGCTTGGATCTAAGGGTGTATGGTAGGCTTTTGAGCTTGTGTAGTACCTGAACATTTTGCAAAGAAAAATAACAAGGATATGGGGGGACCTGGGATTCGAACCCAGGTCCCAAGGTTTGCCAGCGTTGCCTTCCACCATCTGTGCTGCTTGAACGCGTTGTGTATAAAACAAAGAATAAATAATATAATTCAAAACAAATGGTAAGTGGTTAGAAACAAAAAAACGCGCGCTGAATTCAAATTATCCAACCACATCGTGCCACCTGATCTTCTTCTTCGTTGTCCCTGAAACAAAAAAGAAGTAGCGGGGGTTTTAAACCCCCCCAAAATGCACCCTTTTCAAAAATAGCGATTAGCTGGTGAGGCCATATAAATTAAGCGCGATTAATGTGTTAAGTTCGTCCAAGCATCCTGATTCTAGCCATGGTACTGGGGTGACTTGATTTTTCAATATATGTAAACGCCCAATTTGGAGCTTGAGGAAACCTAGCTAGCTTCAATGGTGAATTCACGTATGGTATACAAAAAGTCAATCAAAACACATGGTTAGCTTCAGAATGAATCAACTAACACAAATCAAACATTAAAAGTTAAAAATAATGCATGAATCATGATACATGAATATGGAAAAAATCATGAACAGGACACGGTCGTTCTACCAATTCCTTGCGTTAGGGACGATGGTTTTGATCCAGACACCTTCCTTGAAGCCTCAGGAATGCAATGGGATAGTTATCTGGCCTTGGAACGCCTTAGAATCGTGGTTTCAGTTTTTGAATTTTCTTGAAAAAGTGCAAAGTTGTTTATGAAGTGTGGCGCAGCTTAGAGGTCTCCAGGCATTAGGTTTTGATCAGTCTTATATGAGTGATGGATTAGGGTTGAAAAATATGTCCAAAACCTTTTGCATTGATGGAATGAATATTTGATTTTCATGCATATTTTTTTTCAAATCTTTTCCACGAATATTTGATTTCAATCATGGCCAATCTTCCCAATTTGAGTTGTGCACGAATCTTGAGTGAATCATGAGTGATTATACTGCATAAAAAGATTCACATACATTTGTTTAGTATTTTTTCCATATTTTAATTTATTAAATGAATTAATAGTAATTAAAAATTCAAATAAATAAATAAAAATGATGAATAAATCCCCTTTGGGCCAAATGGTCGTGCATATGCTTTGGATGATGAATCTTGGAAGAAAATGTGGCCCATTAGCAATTTTAAGGCATTTGAAGCAAAGTTGACTTTTCAAAATACCCAAAAATTTCCCAACTTCCACAAGGCATATCTTGCTCAATTTTTAAGCTTTGATCATGTTCTTGGACATTTTGGAAAGGTCTTGAAGTCCTCTAACCAATGACTTTGGTCCCATGTCATTTTGATTTACCAATCTCAAGTTATGGCCTTTGACTTAAAGTCCCTTTTTGTTGACTTTTGAAAATGACCTATAATGTTGAAATTGATAACTTTTTGTGAGAGCATTTCTTGGACTTGAAGTGTGAAGAGGGGTTGTAAGAAATGTCATTCTCTTCAAAATGAGCTTTGGATGGAATTTTTCTGATAAACCATGTGGAAGTTATGCCTTGGTCAAGTTACAGTTGACTTTTTCAACTGTCCAAATATGGAAACTTTTGCATCTTGAGACTTTTTGAGCCATGCCTTGAAAATCATGATCAAGAATTGATCAAATGATGTTTATGGCTTCAAAATGAGATGTTGACCAAAAATTTGAACTTTTGACTGTCAAATGACCATTTTGCCCCTACAGTTGACTGTAGTGCAATTAGGGTTTTTGACTGTGCAATTTTGTGCTGTAAGTCTTGAAACTTGGTATGAGGATGCTTGACCATGTTTGTAGGCATGTGGGACTTGATTGGACCCTTGGAAACTTCAATTTCTTTGTCAGAACCAAAACCCTAGTTTTTGACTATTAGGAGGCCCTTGAACTGTGCAACCCTTGGGGAATTTTGAAGCATGCTCTTTGCAAATGTTGAAGAATATGGGAGGGAAAATTTTGGGGTACAACAGATAAGACGAGGATGTTTCATTTCTTAAAATTAATCAACACACATGTGTTTTAAATTTTTTAAAGGTGAACTACGAGTACCCTGATCCTCTATTGCACGAAAGGTGGTACATAGGCGCTAAAGGTTCACAACCGCGATGGGTGCAAAAATCATAAAAAATATTTCCTTTCTCATCTCCACCATCTATTTTTGTACAACATTTATAGCCAAAATACACAAATTTTCAAAGAGGTTCCTGCGGAGTACCATAGATGTTTAGGGTTCTAATATATTCCCTTTGCTTAACCAACCCCCGAACTTAGATTCTCTCCCCCTCTTTTTGGGTTATTCTCTCTTTTCCCATTTCTTTGGAAACAATAAAGCACAATGGCGATTTTTATTTTGATCTGTGCGAGTCAAGTCAATCCAATGGCTTAGTCTCAACATTTCTACCGCTACAAGTGCATTTAACTTTGAGGATGACAGGGAGATCTTTTAAGATAGCGGAGTCTTCATGCTTTTTTTGGACATGCGTGATTGAACTTTTGTAGATAGCATGGAAAAATTAAGCAAGATAAATATGTTCTACTACCTTGCATGTGCCCAAGGTATCCGTGTCGTGGTGAATATTGGTACTTCTATATCTTCCCATACTCCTCAGGCGACCCTTTCTCCTTATCTTACCCCTATTGTAGAAGCTTCTGCTTCTTTATGAAAGGTGGATCTAGTGGACAGTGTGGCCACTTTAATATTGGAAGAACCAACCTCTGCTCTAGCTTTGATGAAGAGGGAACGAAAGGAGGAACAACATTCTCTTCAAACTGAGTGCTATCAAAAATGGACTCAGTTTGTTGAGGATAATGATTTTGGGGAGGTATCTCCCTTCATAAACATAACAGACATCTTATCTTCTCGACTTCCACGCACTGTTGAAGGGGCTTCTGCTATTATCTCGACATCATATTTATTCTTCGTCAAGAATCTCCCTAAGGGGGATAAGATGGAAGTGGTCTATGAGCTTGCTCATAGCGTGTTCAAAGTTGCTTCTATTTTTTTCTCTTGCCTCAACTAGATGGTGTGATGTTTTGATTCCGGGTAGTCCCTCCATGACTCTCTTTAGCAGAAAATATGAGTCGTGCTCAGTGTCTTTGAACAAGTTGTTGAGCATGCGAGCAAGTTTTATCCTGGTGTTGTAATTTTTGGTTAGGCGTTGGATCCTTTTAAGTCTGCTCTTGGGGTGGTTCAAGGAGGTGGATGTGGCGCCTTGAGTTTAAATGCTCTTACTTGATTTTCTTTTCGCTTTGTATTATTAATTTCCAGCAATATTTTCAGGCCTTTGTTCCTTGGATGTAATAATTAATGATATTTAATGAAATGTTTTACCTTGATGTTTCAAGTAATGTTAGAATTAGAGATGTGTTGGCCTTTATTTTAACATCATCATTTCTTACGAATTATCATAACTCAGGGCTTTCTCTTTTGCTCTGTGAAGTTTTTATTCACTTTAGAGTTTAGGTTAGAACGCCGGTGTTCATTTTCTATGGAGAGACGTCTATTTTGGATGTGAGAGCCTCTATTATTTGTTTTATGGAAGATACATCAGATTTGATTATAATTAAGTGGCAGATATGCCTATAATTTTATTAGCTTTTTGCAACTTGGTGCATTTGAATGATGTTGGCTACCAGTTTTGGTTGCTTCTCTTGCTCGTTGTCTTTAGCAGTTTCCATAGTAGTGTATTCATTTGAGCATCACATTTGGAGATTTATTTTATTTTTATACATGTCTGGGACCAGATGATAAGTGCAAAAGTGTAGTTATTTTGTATATACTTTTTGTTGCACTTATATATTCTTTGTTGTTATATCAGTTGAATAACCCCGCTTTTTGTTGTAAATAGGTTTAGTTGCATTTTGTGTACATATTGTATTGGTTGATTAGTTTTGTATATGTTTTGTAGGTATTTGAGCATGGTTGGAGCAATGAGGAATAAAATCTCCAAGACGAATTTTTGGATCAATAAAGGACTAAGGAAAAGATTGGAGGCCAGATAAAGTTATGCAGTGGAAGCAACAGAAGTTGTTGGACTGTCATGCATCGTCGGGCGAAATTTTTGTCATCGGGCGACAGTGGGCGAGAAGAGCCAATTTTGATGTTGCCTCTGCCTTGCTTCGCATCTAGGTCGCCAGGAGAAAATAAAGAGAGTCGCTAGGCAAAGCTGTGTGTCACCGGTCGACGTCAGATATTTGTTTCAGTTGAGGATATGGCACAGTCTGGGCCAAGTATATAGAAGCCATCGTTAGGCGATGCTTTTATGTCGTTGGGAGATGCTTTTATGTCGCCAGGCGACGCGTGCGGATCAAAAGTTTGTTATATCTTTCATTTCATTTCATTTGGAAAGTGATGGTTTTGGTAGTGAATTTTTTCTAATCATCACTAGACATATACTGCTTAGATTCTTATCTAGGATGATTATCTGTTAGTTTCTGAACTCTAGAGATAGATTTAAAGATGACACTTACTTGGGTATCAGAGCTTAATTCCTCTCTGTGATTGTGTTGTGCTGAGAGATGGTCAGTGCGATTACATAGTATTCTTTTGTGTTGTTAAGGAAGTAGAGAGATCATTTCCTTGGTGATACAGTCGGTCTCTCGATTTAGGTTAGAAATGACTTAGGCTGTGAGTGATACTTAATGACATTGATGAGTATTGTTAGGTGGAGTGTAAATGGATGGTAGATTTAAGTCTGTGATGAGTAGATTATACGCAGGCTTGATAAGTTCTTCCTTAGTTTTTACTTTTGTTTACATTTATTTTCTTTTGATACTTTTCTATACCATTTATCCTCAAACTCATTAATGAATGATTTGTCGAACGGTAATTCAATAACCAAACTCTGTGGACACTATAGGATATAACCTATATCACCCGATAAAATTAATAACTTACTTTTTGCTTGCCGCTATATCGCTCAATAAAATGGTGTCGTTGTCGGGGATTGGTTATATAATTTTCGTATTGCGATAATTCTTTTGTTTTTGAGTTTTGTAATTAATGTATATGTTGTATATAAATTGTACATTAACTTGTATATGATATTTGTGCATATATGTGTTTTCACGTATTGTTGTGAATTGTCTCATTTTCTTAACGTTTGTTGTGTGATTGTTAGGACACTTTTTTTAGATTTATACGGTGTAACAATACCATGGCATGACGAGAGGAGGTTACTAGCTCGCACAATAAAGGTGTCAAGCTTACGACGTAAAACAAGCATATTTATTTGTATTTGTTTATGTGTGTCCTGATTTGTGTTTTAACAAGTTGAAACAAAGAAATATTCTGAATTTTAAATCTTCACTTTTCAACTTGTTAATTCATTTTCACCCGGTTTCATATCGTTATTTGTATTTGTTTTGTTATATCAATTTGTGTTTTCTGAAAGCTTGTCGTTTTTAACTTGAGGAGTTATGTTCGTTGTAAATATTTTAAATTTTGTAGGAGTATTATTTTTCTAATTTTTTTGTTGTTGTGTGGACTCTAATTTTGGTTTGATAGCTTGAGAATATTGAAGTGATTTATCAAGTTTGATCGTTTCGACTTGCGAATGCATGATAATGATTTTTTTAAAGTTTTGTACACGTTCGAGGTATGTGTTTATTACTTTCTATACTTTAGTATATTCATGATACTTAGACTTTTACAACTTTTATGCCATTCATTCTTTTGTATACTTGTTCATTTATGAATCACTTTAGTTCTCATCCTTTTTGTGAGGTAGCTTTCCATTGTTCACATATGCTGGAGACCACATTCTTGTTTTAACTGGATTTTATTATGCTTAATCTTTTATTTTTGTTGATTACATGAATGCAAGAAAAGGATCAAGGCATTTTTGTTTCATTTTGAGCACAACTACCTAGCCAAATAATCAATTCACCTTGTGAGTGTGTGATCATTAGTAGCCTCTTTGAGCTTTTTGTTGATATTCATGTTATTTTTACTAAATACTTGTCTATGAGTGTTTAGTTCACCTTTTTTCTTGAATGTTGATTAGTTGTTTTCTTGAACCCTCAACCATTGTTTTGGTTTGAATTTTTACCATGCCTTAAAAAATAGGGAGTATTCACTAAGATGTTGGTTGAATTCAAGTTGGGGAGAGAAATGATTGCGTAATTATTGGTTGATTGCTATGAGGTTGAAAAGAAAAAGAAAATAAAGAAAAAAATGTGAAAAGTGATAGAAAAAGAAAGGAAAAAAATAGAAAAGCTTTTAAAAAGAAAAACAAAAAGAGTGTGGAATAATATTGTGTTAATAAGTGATGTGGGTTAGTGTGAAACTTGTGATGAAGAAGAACTGTGATTAGAATTATTTTGTTTGAAACTTTATGGAAGTAATTACTCCCTTAGGTTTAGGCAAGTTTTTGTTTCGATTAGCTTTAGGACTTATCACATGTTTGTTTACCCGACCATATTACAACCTTGAAAAGCTCTTAAGATTATTGCTTTTATATTTTCAATGTAAATTTTTGGATGAATGCATAATGTAGTCTATTGTTTGCAAGATTGATGGATGAGTGAAAATACCTCATTGTTGTGTGTTTTTCATCTACCGATGATTGTGTTTACTAGGTGGGATTCATTTGTGAACTAGTATTGTTTTAGAATGTTTGGCATGATTTTTGTATTTAGCATTTGTTTCGTGTTTATGTTATAGTCGTAGTTTAGTAGTAAGTGTTTACTTTGTGTGTACTGTTTTTCATTTGAACTATTGCATTTGTTTTCTGTTTTAAAAACCTGTTGATTCGTGATTCTTTGATTATCTTTCTTTGTTTCTTTGGGTTATTTGACTTTGTTTGAGGACAAACAGTGATTCAAGTTGGGGAGAGTTTGATAAGTGCAAAAGTGTAGTTATTTTGTATATAATTTTTGTTGCACTTATCAACTCTTTGTTGTTAATATCAGTTGAATAACTCCACTTTTTGTTGTAAATACATTTAGTTGCATTTTGTGTACATATTGTATCGGTTGATTAGTTTTGTATATGTTTTGTAGGTATTTGAGCATGGTTGGAGCATTGAGGAATAAAAGCTCCAAGATACATTTTTGGATCAATAAAGGAATAAGGCCAAGATTGGAGGCCAGGTGAAGTTATGTAGTGGAAGCAACAAAAGTTGTTGGACTTTCATGCATCGCCAGGCGAAATTTCTGTCGCCGAGCGACAGTGGGCGAGAAGAGCCAATTTTGATGTTGCCTCTGCCTTGCTTTGCGTCTAGGTCGCCAGGCGAAAATAAAGAGTCGTCAGAAGAAGCAGTGTGTCGTCGAGGCGACGTCAGATATTTGTTTCAGTTGAGGATGTGGCGCAGTCTGGGCCAAAGTATTTAAAAGCCATCGTCCGGCGACACTTTTATGTCGCCAGGTGACGCGTGCAAATCAGAATTTTCTTATATCTTTCATTTCATTTCATTTGGAAAGTGATGGTTTTGGGGGTGAATTTTTGTCTCCCAACTCCATCCACCTCAATTTTAAGTATTTGATAGGGTAGACGCAATACAAACTCGAGAGTTCTATCCTACTCAAATAATGAATTTTTTTTGTATGTATAACTTTTAATTCCAGCACCTTACATACAAAAGCCATTTTAACCCAAACTCATGAACGAGGAATTTGTCGAACGACAATTCAATACACCAATTCCTAAGGAGACGATATGAAATATCCTAAAATAAAAATACTTACTACTTTTTACTTGCCGCTATACCCGCGGCGACAGAAACATATACATCATCCAACATTAATACCTCAAATAAATTATAATTTTTAAAACAAAGCTTAAAATTCATAAAATTCTAAATATATGTTTGTAGTAAGCCAATTTGTATAACTTCAAATATTTCTAGCATTTGATGATGATGCTCTTGCATCCAAATGTGTGTTAGACACAGTATCATCCAATCATTAGAAATACTTGCATATTTCTAAGAGTTATCTTATTTCTAATCACAACAAAAATAAAATTGCTAACATTCGATGATCTTGCATTTAAAGGTGAGTTGGTTACACTAGCAACCAA